ATCTTCCATCTCCACAATATATAGTATATATGCATTATCGGTCAAATTTTCATTTTTTCCTACAAAACTCCAATTCCAAAATTAAAATTCTAGAATTATCGAAAAAAAGATTTTTTTGAATAGAAGTGTCAGCCCACATGCAAAATTTGAGCTGCATTGGATGATTCTAATATTTTTGTACCTAAACGATTGAATGCCTCTCTTATCCAAAGAAACTACTATAACATCAATTAATTTTTGCAAATAAATAATAATTCTTCACACTTGCTGGGCAGCTATTATTAAAATGTTCTGCCCTTTCATATGTAAATGTATGTAAATGTTTTTGAAGTTGTATTGTATCATATTTATTATGTTTCACACCCTATGGACGTCTTACTTGTTACTGTGTACTATTTTGTGAAAGAAATTTTTATACCATTCAACGAGAGAAGTAAATAAATATTATCATTACCAGTTATGCTACATAAGACTCTTTGTTTTGACTGCTCTGGTGTGGAGGAATTGAAATAAACTCTATATCAAGTTTTTGATTGGAAATTACCTCTCCCAACGGGATACCCTGTATAAGCAGATACGTACACGCCCACCGTGTATGTATGTGCTTATACTCATACTAATTACCTCTCTTACTCACTCATACTCCCACTTACTCACTCAAACACTCACTTACTCATACATAATCATTTTCAATCACTCACACTCACCCAATCACTCTAATACAGCCAATCACTCACTCTCACTTACTCATACAGTCACTTTCACTTAATCACTCATACAATCTCACTTTCACTTACTCTCATACACCCAATCACTCACACTTCCTCACTTACGCTCTCACTCATACACCCAATCTCATTCACTCACACTTAGTCACATACACACACACACACTCACTTTCACACAACCAATTACTCACTCATACTCTTTTACTCACACTGAGTTATTAATGACTCTATCATTAATTCATACACACTCACTCTCATACACCTAATCACTCATTCTCACTTCACACTCACTCTCATACTCCCAATCACTCATTCTTACTCACTCACACTTAATCTTACCCACCCACTCTCATACACCCAATCACTTATACTTTTTCACTCACACCCACAAAATCTCACTTTCACACTCCCAATCACTCACTCATACTGTCTTTCTCATCCACTCACTTGCGCTCACACATTCTCTCACTCACTCACACACCCATGCAAAGCTAGAAGTTTCTATCATCTCCTGCTTATTCCACCCACACTAGAACGAAACACTGTATCCCACTGTATAACCGAATGTTTTTATCAAATTCTGATAATGCTAACTTGCTTAGCAAAATGCACATTTGGAAACAGTGTTTCTGTTCTGACGTGGAGGAATCGAAATCTACGTTATATTATTTTCTTGAGTGGAAATTACCTCCTCTAGAAGCCTCTTGAGGGTGACCTTGACTTACGGGACATCTCTTATATAAGTATATACACATACGCACATGCTCACTCACTCCGCTTACTCATACACCCTTACTCATACTCTCTCATTCAAAACTGAAACCTGAATGCTTTTTTATGTTGATAAATTTGATTTGATTTGATCATCATCCCTCTGATGATAATTACTTGGTTACCAAAAGCACATCAGGAGACTAATTCTGTTCTGGTGTGGAAAAAGTGTTTTCTCCTTTGATTCCAAATTCAAAATTTTTAATCATTCTAGTCACAATATACCAATGGTTCAAACGTTTTGTTCAAGGCGTTGAAACATTTACGTTTGATTATAAAAAAAGAACAACAAATGAAAATATGTTTTCGTACTTTTTCCCCTAGTTAAAATACTCCAGTAAGAGGAGTTTTCCGACCGACACCGTATAATGATTTTCCTATTTCAAACAGAGATTTCACTTCATTTCACCTGCGGATAAAAGTACTGGCCAGAAGGAACCATCTGAGGTGCGACGTTAGCAAAAAACTGAGTGCCGTTGGTGAACCCGCCCTGGAGAAGCATCTGCTGGATCTGCTGTTGTGGCAGGCTCTGCGTTTGCATGTATTGGCCCGCAGTTAATTGAATGCTGCCCACTGATTGAGGAACTCTGGTGGCCCCCGCCGGGGGAGCCTCATCGACGTAATCCATACATTTCCACCGGCCACGTTTGAAAGGTTCAAGGCTGGCGATCTTCACTACTTTGAAGCGGTCATTTCTGCTGGGGGTCGAGTGGAGTTCTTTGTCTTCGGTCGCTTTGGCCGTAGTGTCAGTCAACGTTTCAGTGGGGACCGTTACCATTTCGGAAGGAAGGTCTCCTGTTGTGGTAGCATTTGGTATAATGGCTACCCCGTACTGGGGGCTGGTGGCGATTACGTTGGTGGCGTTGGTAGTCACAGATGGGTCGTCGGACCCTTGCTGGGTCTCTTCGAGGCCAGGAGCTGGTTGAAGATTCGTTTCCACGTTTGCAGGTAACTCTGAGGGTTCTTGGGCATTTCCTTGCACTTGGTACTGACCTGGAAGAGGTTATAACGAATTCGACAAGCGACCTATATGAACATAAAATCAAAATAGAATACACCTGCAGATGCATTAAAATCAACATTGATGACAAAATGAGAATCAGGATGATTGAAAGTAGAGAAACTCAGAACTTTGCACCTACTCACCCATACACATAAAGTTTTGATGTCTCATCAACCTGACTACCTACTCAAGAAGTTTAGAACATTCTCAACAGTTAATAGTCATCCCCAAACACAAATCTTCCATCTCCACAATCTTGTTAAATGGAAGTAACACTTTGTGCGATATCCACTGAAAAGTTTTAGGCAGACAATAGTTTTAGCTATTGCCTAGCTAAAACTGTATTCACAGTACGTACATGATACTATTCATGATAATAATTACAGAATTTTCACAATGAAGTCTATGTATATTCCTTTTTTTCAGACCAAGAAGTGTTTCATCTAGTGGCTTTGATGCATCTACTGTATTCTTGATAACATAAAAAGCACTTTGAATTTTTACTCACCTACAGGGTTGACATAATCAGGGGCGAGTTCTTCTTGACCATTGCCATTTGTTTTTGAAACATATCTAAGTATTTTTTCGGACCTTCGTGGATCTGCGTTCATTATAACCTGGTGAATATGATAGTGTACGACTTACAGTAAATACTGTGAGTGCACGATATTCTGAATAATAATTAGAACTAAAAATATAAAATACAATATATGTAAGATGTCGTAAAATGGGATAGTGTGGTAATTTCCGTGATAATCAACTTACTAAACCATTAATGGCCTGCACACAGGATTAAGCACGCACTTTCCTAAATTATCTATTTAGTATAATATTATAATAACAACAACTAAAACTCCTATTCAATAACAGAAACAGTATTCTGTCTAATCTTCTCCATGTCAGTTGTCAAATTCATGTCAATGGGTACATTTCTTTTAATTTACATTTTCATGACACAGAACACGTTTGTATGTTTTTCATTCATTGATATAGTCTTCAGATATCTCAAACAGTGAGAGGAATCTCTTTGATTTTTTTGCTCTGAAATATGTTTTCAAATATGATGACACACAATTCGAATATGATTTGACCTTGAATTCGACCTACTTCTTCGAAACCCTCATATTTATCTTGTGAACATTCAGAAAAAACCCAACTTGTATTTGGGTTTTTATCAATTATCAATGATAATCCAATGGACTTCTGCAACCAACAATGATGGAAAACAATACTTGAATTTCTACAGTTGAAACGCTCTATCTTTGAAAATTTGGAACTATGGAAAATTTGTCCACCAGACATCGCCAGGAGTACGTTTTTCGACGTTTTCATTAGTAATTCCAAGCAGTTTTCACAGCTTCATTTGAAGTAATATACTTGTAAAATCAAAATATTCCAAAACTGATATATCGTTTCCTATTGGTAAAACTAATTCTCATTCGGTGTACTTTAATGTGTTGAGATATAGAGGATAGAGTGGAATATTCATTTTTATTAATGTAAATATTTATTTGAAGGTAGTATTTTTTCAAAATTAATGAATATTTCGTTCAAAATTCATGTAATTGAAATATATAAAAAAAGAAAATAATACAAATTATGAAATTATGAAACAACAAAAATTAATTGACGCTCCAAGGGTCTTGATTGATTCCTGTGGCGCATTTACTTTTTTCAGCTGCAGGAAAACCCGGAAAAACTTGCAGTATCACAAAAACCTTCATCACCACAAAATTTATTGTGAATGAGAGAGAGAGAGAGAGAGAGAAATTCAAAAAAATTCCTTAAAAAAATATGCTATATTATAGTGACATACAGTAGTAAACTATAATTCACAAAAAGCGTTGTCATTGTAAAATATATTATGCATTGATTATCATTTACCATGGAAACCTTGTTTTAGTGAGAAAGAAGTCATTCGTCAAGTCATTGTTATTAAAAAAAACTTGTGATAGGAGTATTCCATCTACTCTGTGATATTCTGTGGCACAGATCCTCAATCCTCAGATCGAAATATTAGGTTATTGTGTTACGTTTCAATTTGTCAAATTTGTGATTGAGTTTGCTGCGGAAAAAGGTAATTAAGGAAATATGGATTTTTGTAACTTATTATCAAAATCCTTGCATAAAATCTACAGCTTTTTTGCTTTTAACATAAAAATTCAATTTCCTTCATACATGAGTGATTATGTACATACACTTCTAAGGATAATATATGATTACATAAGCTGAATACCTAATGATATCCTGTTTTCATGGGCTTACCAATAAAATAATAAAAATTGAGCCATTCCCATCTCATTAAATACATTCAATTGTCGAAAAGCCAGAGAAAACTATAATTGAATATTTATTTTATAGATTTAAAATGGCAGATGCACCAAAAGTTTCCAGGCCAATGAAATTTCCTTATACTTTTTCTGCCAAACTCGCCCAGTTCCCATGGAAATATCATTTGAAGAACCAGTGGCTGTGGAAATATTACGCAATTTCTGTTGTTGTTTGCATACCAATTTTCAAATCGATTAGTAATTTAGGTAAGTATGTACAAATTGTCATTAGTAATCCTAATTCTCAAAACTTACCCTGGATTTATGCATCAATGTTAAGTTATATGTCATAATTTGATGAAAACACTTCACACTTGTTTCTTCAACATTTGCTAACATCATCAGGCGAAGAAAAAATGTTCTTGTAAGATTCAGAGGTTTAAATTCAAGTCACAAGATATTGACCATTGACCTAAAATTAATTGCACCTGTATGAATTCTTCTAATAAAATCAGTGGTCTAAGTATTACTTACGATTTGGTACCAATGACATTCAACTTAAGATTGACATGATTAAGTAACACTTCATTGTGAGATTTTTACAAAACAGTTCACAAAACCGCAACATGTGTTTCATTATACAATACCTTCGTCAGTATGTTCAATATTCCACTAAAGTGCGCATAGTGCTTCTGATATATATTTTGATATTTTGAAATTTAAAGACTTTTACTACATATTCAATAATTAATAATTTCAGTCATTTTCGAAGCAATTTTTTGGCTTGTTTTTTTTTAATTTACCACGCCCACCTGTGATAATATAAAACCGGAATAAAAAATCAGCATTGTACAATTCTTTGATTTTTTGTGACTCCTAAAATACACACTTTATCAGTTCAATTACAATTCCATGATGTGGAACAGTAGCATTTCCATACCAATGATTTATTTTTCTCCACAGCAAATTCCCCTGCTAATGTGGCAAAATGGGCTGAAATTCGTCGCAGGGAATCAGAAGAGCACCACCATTGAAGACATAATCATTCCGCAATGGTAGAAAAAGTAGACCTAGCTCATGTTCTCACAGTTTGATGGGTATAAAATACAAGAAATCCGTTATTAAAAACAGTGTAAAACTCCTCTACATGTGCTAATTGTTAATAAATATATGTATAAACACTTTGTTTTTTAATTATTATGTGAATGACGTATTGGCTATGTTCTACGTGTTGACAGACCCAAACCGTTTCAGAGTTCAACGGTTACATTCAAATGTCAGATTCCTCTCGTAAGATGATGAACGAGGTGGGAGGTGGGTTTTGAGAATCTTCATGGATTGTTTACAAACTGACATGATTTTTTTGCAGTTTGGTGTGTTTGATCTAGTGCATTTAAATATCATCTTTCCAGAGAGCTCATGTTCCCTTCTTATTCTGTACACTGCTGGTTTATTCAAATCACGATTTTTTTCAATTTCATTGTTTACTTGTATATGAAAAATGAACAGTAGTTTTCGATAAAAATTGTGGCAAACTCTACCTAGCGTTTTCATTTGAGAAAAATATACAATTCGGACAGTTCCAAGTAGTAGGAAAAAAGAATTGAAAAAAATAATGGAAATTTTGAAAGTGAAATCATTTAAGATTTTGTTTGAGCATTCCAAGCAAAATTAATTTGGTCAGTCTGGAGAAAGATTGATAAAATCCTGCTTGCAGATTATAACTATAGAAATAGAAATATTTATTTTATGTAAACAATTATATATTTGAGGAAAAAGAATATGGAACGAATGCAATTTTTTGTGGAGGAATTACAGTTTTCATTGTCCTTTTCTGGGAAAATTCACCATCAACAATCCGAACGAATAAAAATTAGTAATGAAGAATTTTATATAGGTGAAAAAAGGCTAAACTTCTAATTGATCATGATAGATTGTAAAATCTACATATTTTTTTCAAAGAGTCATCAATAACCTGTCATCTGATTGATTTGGCCGTTTAAAAAAATCTGTTTTTCTGTTAACCAGCTGTCGCACTCCTTCGAACGACAACCCTCAGAAGCCGAAACTTGTGCGAGCTAAGGATTAACGAGGTCTTACCTTTTAACGTGTGAGTCCTAACACGGAATGAAGATGCATAGTTATTTTATTATCTACAACTTACGATTTGATCTCCACAAACTTTATTTGAGAAATATATCATGACATGTTTCGCTAACACAGTATCTTCTTCAACCAGTGATTTGAATACTACAAGCTGCTTCTTAAACTAATATTTATATACCACAGGTAAACCTGTGTAGAGGTAAACCTATACAATTTTTACATACCTGAGGTACCTCTTCAATTATGATTACCTCACTTCTACATCAATAATAATACTTCCTTGATTTTTTAAGAAAACAAGTTAAATAATGGTGATCTATTCAAATCCAGTTGGTCATTCATTAGAATATTTGAATTTTTAAGTTTATTAACTTCCATTGCTTCCAAACGATTCAGTTTCAAACCTTTATTTTCTATGTGTAAAATTTCGAACTCTTCGTTGAAGATATGATTTTCTTCTAAAAGTTGATTTGAATATATTGAACTTGTTTTCTTATTTACATAGCTTTACAATATGTATTATTTCTTGTTGCATTGTAACTTTGATTTTGTCTGTCGTTCGATAATCTCAGTGATGAAGCATGGTATGATTTGTAACTGTCCGGGACTTTTACATCATACAATATAAAAAAATTAAAAAAACATAAATGAACTTTGGGAGTCAACTATATTCTGCAAGTTTTGAGCGATTCAACAATAAATAACAAACCGAAGAGTTGCATTTCGTCTTCGTTTGATAAACTCAGCGGTAAATTATTGCATGATTTGTAATTGTCTAAGACTATTACATCATACAATGAATAAAAATTGAAAGCACATAAAAGAACAGTGGGAGTTTCTGATGTTCAACTATACTCCACAGGTTTTAAGTGATTCAACAACAAATAACAAGCTGAAGGCCATCCTGGATTTCGTTCATCGTTTGATAATCTCGGTTGTGAAGTATGTATAATTTCTGATTGTCCGGGACTTTTACATCATACAATATACAAAAATTAAAAATACATAAATGAACTTTGGGAGTCTTTGGTGTTCAACTATATTCTGCAAGTTTTGAGCGACTCAACAATAAATAACAAACCGAAGAGTTGCATTTCGTCTGTCGTTTGATGAACTCAGTGGTGAATTATTACATGATTTGTAATTGTCCACGACTAGTACATCATACAATGTACAAAAATTGAAAGTACATAAAAGAACAGTGGGAGTTTGTGATGTTCAACTATACTCTGCAAGTTTCAAGTGATTCAACAACAAATAACAAACTGAATATTGCCATCCTGGATTTCGTCCGTAGTTTGATAATCTCAGTTGTGAAGTATGGCATGATTTGAGATTGTCCGGGACTTTCACATCATATAATATACAAAAATTAAAAATATATAAATGAACAGTGGGAACTATCTTCTGCAAGTTTCAAGAGATTCCGAATAATTGCCATCCTGGATTTCAGTGGTGAATGTGACATGATTTGTAATTGTCATTTTACATCATAGAATATGAAAAAAATCAAAAATACACAAATGAAAAGTGGGGATATCCAAAAAACAACAGTGGGAACAGTGGAAGTTTGTGGTGTCCAGCTGTCTTCTGCAAGTTTCAAGTGATTCAACAACAAATAAACTGAAGAATTGCCATCCTGATACATATCCTGGCATTCTTAATGAATGCTTTTCATCATATTCAACTGTTTAATTCAGTGTGATGGGGTATCTGATAATGAATAATAGTTTTTTTATAACACAATTTTTTAGTTCATTTCAATGAGGCAACTGGTTTCTAAGGTTACCTTGGATGGTATGTTTTATTCCTTACTTAAATACTACTCTGATTCAGTTAATCGTTGATATTCTATCAGAGTTGTTTGCTTCTCACTATTTTCAATTTTTATAATTGTGGTAAGTTGATTTAAATTTATACACGTCAAGTATACAGGGTGTAAATAATTATGTCACTAATTTCAGGTGGTGATTACTTGTATTTTATCTGAAAACGGGGTGCTGAAGTTTTACTGAAAATATTATTCTTTTGATAATAACTTACAATTATGTTCGCCGATTTTGATCGAACTATATGTTTTCATGAAATCAGATTTGGAATTTTAATTTCACTTTACAAATCAATGACATTTCGGTAATAATAATGTAATAGGTACGTTATTTCCACCTTGCTGGGTTTGACAGGTAATTAAATCAAAAGTAAATAATTTGTATGCCTTATTCTGATATATACCTATTAAATTTTTACTCCGATTCTAAAATGCTCAAAAATGAAAATTATAAAAAAAACATCAACAAGAGCAGATATATTTTTGTGAATCAAAGTTACTCTTTCAAAGATAAGAGATATTATTATTAGAATTTGTTGTTCAATGTGTGCAATTTTACCTCGAGAATGTTTTTATTTAAACTGAGGTGTGGGGGGTTCACATTTGATGGTGAAGAGATGGGTTTAATTGAAGTTTGAGGAAAGCTTGTTTGAGTCGCATCAGCTCTTTATCTTTTCCATGTCTTCAGTGGCATCTTGAGCTAGTTTTGTAGGATCTTTGCTCTGCCACAGGAACGTGGTGTCATCTGCAAATAATGTGATGCTAGCAGTTGAGTCCAGTTATGTTATATCAGTAATATACAATAAAACAAGATGGGTCCTAGGATGGAACCTTGTGAAACACCTTCTTTGATTTCCCCTACACTTGGAGTCTCACTTGGAGTTTGAAAATGTCCGTATAGGACGAAACTGCAGTAACGTTAGTTACGGGTGGTAGTGGTAAAAAAAATTTCATTTCTTTTTTCATTATGATTTCCTACCACGTAGTAACGGCTACATCCATCAATTTATTATTCGTTGATGTTGTTGAATAAATATATTAATAATTATCCACGCGTTAATAATTCAACAACGGTGTTTCAGAATGTATTCATATTGCTACGCCTCTGTAATGAAGTCATAATTATTCACAATTTTCCAAGTTTATTTTATAAATTAAAATCGAGGACTGTTGCGATTCAAATATGAAATACATTACTAATTAGGAGCAGTCATTAATGTTGATTCAGTTTTTTGCGTGAATTTCTAACAACTATTTATTTGCTTTTTACGTTTGCCTCATTATCTTCGTTAAATCTGAATTATTTCAATGTTACTTCCATAACCATTTTACAAAATACGTTCGTTGGGGATGTGAAAAATAGTTTGTACAGAACATTTTTCTGTAGAATTTCAACCGATATCAGTAAGAGCTGATCATTTTTACCGACTTCCAAAAAAGAAGGTTATCAATTCGACAAGTATGCATGAAACTACAAATATATTTACATATATTCATTCATTATGGGCATTATTATTTGGGGCTTCTAAAGAAATATATAAAAATGTAGAGGTGTATTAATATACCGTGATATTAAGGAACCATTTTTCTGAATCATAATTGATCTTGCTCTTTGATAACTAAAAAAAATGTTTTTATTTAAATTTTCATTGTTTATTCCATTTGCTATACACACTTAATGTTTTTCTTTGATTATTTTTTTCTTTCTACACAATATAATGAAAACAACCATGTATTATTTCCCCGAAAAAAAAGTTATTTATATTTTACATCAAATTGCGAAAATTCTGTTCTCCTGTATCAGGGGTCTCCAAACTACGGCCCGCGGGCCAAATCCGGCCCGCCAGCCAATGATTTACTGTCATCAATCTGGCCCGCGACAGCCAATGATTACCTAATTGTTGTTAGTATTGCTGTGATAAGTTGAAGAAGAAAACACAGAATGATAATTACTCGGTTTTATTTACTTGCAAGGTAAAACTTACCGACAGAAATGATGACAAAGAAAACTTAACTTAAGTATCTAAGTTTAAGCATATTAATAACTACCAAATAATTGAAATGAATCACAGTAAAACATAAACACTAATGGGATTTATGTAATTGTGATTTTCCACCGACAATACTTTGTAGTTGTGGATCAATTTTACTTGTACCAATTATCAAAAGAGACTCAAGATGCTCATCGGGTAATTGAGATCTGTAAACATTCTTTATGTACTTCATCTTGGAAAACGTTTTCTCACACAAGTAAGTAGTACCAAAAACAGAAAAAACACACCCACCCACCACAAATTTATGCAAATTATCAAATAGTTCCAGTGGAAGACTCTTATAAAATTCCAACAAAGATGAATTTTGATTTTTGCATTGGATCTAGTGTTTGGCTATAAAATTTTAACGAATCTTATTGACTCGCCTGAGTTGATAGCAATGATGTCTTTTCATGTACCCCAGAGAAACACAAGGAATAAATATTTATTAGCTACTTCCACATATAACACCAATGTGGGGAAAAACTCTCCAATAAATAGAATTACAGACTCATTCAACAGATACTGTTCCAATTTGGACGTTTTATCCATGTCCTTACAAATGTATAAAAGTAACATAAGGAAAATATTCAATTTTTAATCATTTATGTTTTAGATTAAGCATTTAGATCATTTACCTGTTGAACGCCAGTTTGGTTAGCACAATCTGTATTTTAGTGGATACTTGTTTGGGTTCTTTTACCTGTATGTGTCCCGAATTTAGAATAAATAAATAAATAAATAAATTTAGAGCTCGTGGCGTCATCGGTCCATATTTCTTTGAGAACGACGTTGGAGAGGCCATAGAGTCAACGGCGATGATTATTACCATCTTTTTTCAGCGTGAATGATCTTGGATGATCTTGACACCAACGATATGTGATTTCTACAAGACGGCGCTGCGAGCCACACAGTTCTTGCACCAGCTCTGCACGTGGAGGTGATATGACCTGGCCACCGAAATCTTGCGATTTGCCCTCTTGGACTTTTTCTTCCTAATGAAAGACCACATAGAAAGTTCACGAAACCGCCATACAATAGCTTTTCCGAGCTTTTTCATAAACCTGTTGCAGTTGATTGTGGTTTTGTAAACTATCTAGTGAAAATCTAACAAGAAGTGCATCCTTCGGAAAATTCAGTCTTGATGAAGACTCTCCCGGCATTGAAAGAATCTGAATCTAACCAATAAATTTCTATAGAGCAATTTTCCGTACACGTATTCAAAAAACACTTCATTGTGAAATTTTCACTAAACAGTTTTACAAAAAATGTGTTTTATTTTTTCAGCAACAATGAGAACCCATGAGAAACTAGTAATTTCGGGGATTGCCGGACGATTTCCCGAGTGCGAGAATGTGGATCAGTTCAAGGAAGCTCTTTTAAATGGAGTCGACTTGGTTACAGACAATGATAAGAGATACCCTGCAGGTGAGTTTTCTTAAGCCTAATACAAATATTACTGCACTGTGGGACATAACGTGTCCAAAGATATGAAATCCAATATTAATCCCTTGACTTTTCTCAAAGACAAATCGGTTTCAGAGACGTTTTTTTTCATGCCTACAGATGTTACGGAAAATAGAAAAATGCTTAGAGAAATGAAAAATTCAAACTCAGCTGGTTGGGATGACATGAGCATAAAAGTATTTACCAAGTTGCCCAACTCCGCTATCACCGCTTTGGTGGAAGCTATAAACACAAGCTTCATAACGGTAGAGCTCAAACGAGGCCATAAGATATGCCAAGACGAGCATCGAAGTGGTCGACCAAATGAGATGACGACTCCAGAAATGATGAAGAAAATCCACAAAGCGGTACTGAATGATTGTCGACTGAAAGTGCATTTCAAAAAGTGCGGTACAATGATATTATCTGAAAAATTGGACATGAAAAAGTTGTTTGCAAGATGTGTGCCGAGTTTGCTCATACTCGAACAAAAACAGTGTGTTGAAGATACAAAATTCTTGCGTCGTTTCATAACCATGGATGAAACATGGATTCCGAGACGAACGAAAAATCAAAACAGTGGACTCAAAAGGGATGCACGTGGGATAATTTTAATTGTCTTTATAACAAAAGATAAAACTATCAACGGCGAGTATTATGCGAGTATTATTGCAACGATTGAGTGAAGAAATAAAGCAAAAATGGCCGCAGCTGGCTAAGAGAAATTGTCGTTTTATCAAGACAATGCACCAGCCTACAAATCCATTTTTGCAATGATCAAAATTAACGAATTAAAGTTTGAATCGCTAACTCATGCACCCTATTTACCAGATTTAGCCCTCTCGGATTATTTTCTGTACTCAAACTTGAGCCTTCATGGTGGGATACTATCTCCCTTTCTGTGGTCGCTCCTGATGATTAGTCTGCTTGATGCCCTCGACAGAAGAAAAGTAGATCTGCAAGCTTACGCAGATGACATTGTCATCTTGGTAAGGTTCACGTTGGTGCCTGAGGGATGTCTGTTAACCCCAGCAGAACTGTAATAATCCCCTTCACCAGGAGGAGTAAATTGGACGATTTAACGCCACTTTTCCTCGATTGGTTTATTTGGTCGAGTGTGAATAGGTGTGAGCCACAATAAACCCTTGCGGGTTTCGGTGGAGGGTCGAATAGACCCCCTTTGGACCTAACCTACCCCTAACCCAAACTTGAAAAAATGGCTCAGTGGTCAAAGATTTTCCAACAATGAAGAAGTGATGTCACTAGTTAATGGTCATTTTGAGGATTAAAACAGTTTTTATCATAAAAACAGCATCGAACTGGAAAAAGTTTATAGAACTGCAAGGAGATTATGTTGAGAGATAAAAAGGTTTTTTCAAAATTTTTGTCTTCTCTTTGCTGGGCCGGACACTTTTGTACAATAACAAAAATTGCGATTTTTTCGTTAATTATCATGCACTCAGATCATTTGCTTAGCAAAATTTCCAAAATAATGGACCCACACACATTTCAACCCATTAAACTTGATACACTCGGTATATAATCCTTGGTGACACCATTTACGTATTTTTGCATTATGAATTGTCTATATCCATCGAGATGCACAATAAAAACAATTTTTGAAATGTTTTTCGATGTTGGTCGGTCACAAGTTGAAAGGTAAGACCTCGTTAGTCCTTAGCTCGCAAAAGTTACGACTTTTGATGGTTATCGTTCGTAGGGGTGCCATAGCTGGTTAACGGAAAAACATATTTTAAACATATTTTCAAATGAATTTTCATTAAAATGTGAATTATTTTCAGGAATATATGGAGTTTCTCGCAGGTCCGGAGTCATACCAGAAATAAACAAATTTGACAACACCTACTTTGAAATCCATGCCACTCTAGCCCAGTATTCGGATCCGCGACATAGTAAGGAGATTATGTTGAGAGATAAAAAGGTTTTTTCAAAATTTTTGTCTTCTCTTTGCTGGGCCGGACACTTTTGTACAATCACAAAAATTGCGATTTTTTCGTTAATTATCATGCACTCAGATCATTTTCTTAGCAAAATTTCCAAAATAATAGACCCACACACATTTCAACCCATTAAACTTGATGCACTCGGTATATAATCCTTGGTGACACCATTTACGTATTTTTGCATTATGAATAATTGTCTATATCCATCGAGATGCACAAGAAAAACAATTTTTGAAATGTTTTTCGATGTTGGTCGGTCGGTCGGTCACACGTTGACCTCGTTAGTCCTTAGCTCGCAAAAGTTACGACTTTTGATGGTTGTAGTTCGAAGGGGTGCCATAGCTGGTTAACGGAAAAACAAATTTCAAACATATTTTCAAATGATTTTTCATTAAAATGTGAATTTTTTTCAGGAATATATGGAGTTTCCCGCAGGTCCGGAGTCATACCAGAAATAAACAAATTTGACAACACCTACTTTGAAATCCATGCCACTCTAGCCCAGTATTCGGATCCGCGACATAGAATTCTGCTCGAAACTGTATATGAATCCATTGTGGATGCCGGGTACAATCCCAAAGAACTCAGAGGAACTAAAACTGGTAATATTTTAAGGTTGTTTAAAACATTTTGTCCATTTTAATATCAGGTATATTACTGGAGTTTTTCCCAACACCAACCCGTTACTTTAACACCTCGACACGTGAATCAAACTGATATTCTTGATCTTGATCTTCCTCTTGAAGATGATCACTTGATGATCGAAACTCCAGTAATATTCTATCTCGTTGGGTTCAGCCAGCTTTTGCAATGTAAGCGCAGAAAATGTATTTATTTACGACATCACATTAGAAACCTTCGAAATTATCATTGTTTCTCTATTATATTATGCATGTTATATACATATATACCTTCCTCTTGAATCACTTCATCTATTAAAAAAATCTACATCAAAATCCCTTGCGAAGTTTCAAAAAAAGCATACCTACATAGTGACAGATAGCGGGAAGCTACTTTGTTTTATACTATGTGGTGATTGATTACGGTTACACTACATACTACAAAAAAAACACTCCACTCGACAAAAATACATTTTTATAGTTCTTGAAACACTCCATTCGAATAAGATACATTTTTATAGTTCTTGAAACACTCCACTCGACAAAGATATATTTTTATTGTTCTTGAAACACTCCATTCGAATAAGATACATTTTTATAGTTCTTGAAACACTCCACTCGACAAAAATACATTTTTATAGTTCTTGAAACACTCCACTCGACAAAGATACATTTTTATAGTTCTTCATACATTTTTATAGTTCTTGAAATACTCCACTCGACAAAGATACATATTTATAGTTCTTGCAACACTCCACTCGACAAAGATACATTTTTATAGTTCTTGCAACACTCCACTCGACAAAGATACATTTTTATAGTTCTTGAAACACTTCACTCGACAAAGATACATTTTTATAGTTCTTGAAACACTTCACTCGACAAAGATTCATTTTTATAGTTCTTGAAACAGTTCTCGTTAATTCCAGGTGTTTATGTCGGAATTACTCCGGTCACTACCTTAGACGAAGTCCGGAAACAAGATACTAGAGGTTACACCAACCTTGGATATTCTTCGGCTATTGCAGCGAATAGAGTGTCCTATTGCTTCGACTTCAAAGGACCCAGTTTTTCTCTGGACACAGCATGTTCGAGCGGCATGTACGCTCTGGCAAATGCCGTCAGGGACTTGAACACCGGAAATATAGATAGCGCAGTGGTGGCTGTCTCCTATATTGTCCTGGTCCCGGAGGACACGAAAGAATTTCACACTCTGCACATGCTCTCGCCAGAGGGCAAGTGCAAAGTTTTCCAAGGCGATAGAGACGGTTACGTGCGATCTGAGACGGTAGGGAGTGTCCTGATTCAGCGGGAGAGCGATTGCAGAAGGATCTACGCCACCATTCTGGGGGCTAAAGTCAACGCCGACGGCTATAAAAAGGAAGGTCTGACCTTTCCCAGTTCCGAAGGGCAGATGGCGCTACTCAAAGAGCTCTACATGGAGGTAGACATAGATCCGAGCAGTGTCAGCTATGTTGAAGCACATGGGACAGGTGAGGCAATGAATTTACTGAAATTGGGTTGGGGATCCTCGAGCTTTCAATGGAAATGATAATTGTAGATACAGGACACTAACCTACAACTGTTCGGTTGTAGGTAGGTAGATCCTCTGCAACCTGCGAAGGTTTATGGTGACTGACACCAACTCAAATGCGACAAAAAAGTTCCAGTTCCTCAGCCGATTCGTTCATTTGTTGAATGATCTTTTGAATCAGATTGGCAAAAGTGAAACTTTGTCACACTGAAAATTTCATTCGGTTCGCAGCGAGACAAGCAGGTCTGTGCTCTGTTGTTTCATCAGTCCAAGCAATCATTTTAGACAAGCTAGGTATTGAAGAGAATAAATTATCAGGACCGGTCGATGGAACCTGAAGTAACAACATCATCAGTGGTATGTGCTACGAGGACGTAGGTCTCAGCAACAACTGACTGGCAAGCTACGTGCTCAATCGTATTGATTTATTATTACATGGTAGGGTTGATGATGGGTGTAGGGCTGGTGGTGTGAGCCATGTCGAGGTATCCATGCAAATTGCTCATTCTGATTGGACCACACTTCTGTATCTGTAGAGTAGGGAAGGTGAGTGTAAGGTGAGTGTAGTCCACATGTAACCCATTGTACATCCTCCCGAAGAGTTGTCCTCCTAGGTCATCGTCCATCCTGTCCTTCACAGTAAGGCAGACAGGTCACTTGGAGATATCTCCTCGCCGAACACACACTCTCGTATTGACGGTAACTCCGGGCACTCGCATAGGACATGCCTGACAGTCTCGTCTTCCTGTTCACACATCCTGCATGGAGGTGTGTCCACTATCCCCATATTATGGAGGTGTTTCTTTAGTTGACAGTGGCCAGTCAGAAATCCTACTGTTGAGCGTAGATTTTTCCTGGTCAATGCCAGATATTTCTTCGGCGCCAGCTTCTCAGGGTCGTCCAGGGTGATCCTGGCAAATTGCATCTTTTGATTCCATCCCATCTCCTTAGAGATTGAGCATGGGTGTAACATTTGCCTGGTTCCGCAATTGTCGAAGTCATCAGGCCGTAGACGCCACTGGGTCCTAAAATTCTTAGTCCAGCCGCTTCCTTGGCTGAAGAGTCGGCAATGCGATTACCTTTACTCATGTCGTGCCCTTCAACCCACCTCAGGATAATGTTATTATCTACCGAGGCTTTGGCTCAATCTTGGTAGCACTCCAGTACTAGCCTTGAGGTCACACGTCTGTTCAAGGCTAATAGGGCTTGTCTGCTGTCAGTGCAGATTGTTACGTTTTTGCCTGAAATTCCTTTCTTGGTTATTTCTTTTGTGGCGATTGAGATACCAGCCAGTTCTGTTTGGACCACGCTGGTATTTTTTTCCATTTCACACTTAATTCTTAGGCTTAGTGATCTGGAGTACACTTCACATCCTGAACCTTCTTTGGTTTTTGAGCCGTCTGTATATATGCTTATTGCATTTGTAGCATCTGACTCTGTCTTCTGTTTTATTTGTATTTTATATAGTTTGTAGGGTGTATTAAACACAAACCTGGATTCAATTGCATCACTAGTTGCCTGCAGCAGAGGTCGTTCTGATTGGTCTGCATTGTTACTGGGTTGTTCTGTTCAGTTCACGTTGTTGATATGTGTGCTGCTGGTGGGTTGTTGATCGGAGTTGTATTTCAGTTATATTCCAGTCCATTTCTAGCCTTCTTGAGTAATGGATATCAAGTTCTGTCGTCGCGTATGCCTTCTTCTTTTCAGCAGTTTCTTCGTAATTTATCACGTGTTTCGTTTCTACTAGGACATATTTTGCAGTTGCGGATTCCTCCGGTTGTGTGTGGCGGTAGCCTCGCTTTTGTTCTTGTGTGTGGTTGATGCTGTGTTAGGTAGTAGAACGTAGATATTCCCCACTCTCTGTGGTCTGACAATGCCTTGGAATGGGCCAATTATTTTTCGAGGTCTAACATTTTTCAATGCAATGTCCGTTTGGAAGAAGTGGTGCCAATGACATTGCTCGCAGCCCCCTCCCTAGCAAGCGAGTAAGCAACTTCATTACCTTCAATAGCAGTGTGATGATTTGTTAAGTCTTTCTATTAGGAAGTTTTTGGCAACTTGAACGATGTTTCAAGAGAACTGAGTGCTTTCAAAACCGCTTGGCTGTCCAAAAATATTGTGAAGTAGAATTGTGGTAATCTCTCCACACATAAATCGATGACGTATATTTCCGCCTAAAATACGGCCGCATAGGACCTTGTGCAGGTTGATATCAAAATTTTGGGTCTTCTGTACCATACTCCGGAAGATTCAAAATAAGTCTAATATACCTTCATCCAACAGGATCTTCCAAACTTCTAGTCGCCATAATCGTCCTTCAGAGAGGACTACTCGCAATGTGGTGAATAAATTTTGAGTCCATTAGCTCACTTAACGATTGACCAACACCCGTACGTCGACGAAACGCAAGATCTGCTGAAAACCACGCCGCTGTCTGTGAGAGTGTGCAGACGAATCCAAGGCAGTCAATTTCGCGTCGCTCACAAGAACTCGGCTTTTCGCAGATCATTACTTGGCGAATTTTGCGTTGTGACTTGGGCCCGCGCACGTACAAAATTCAACTGACCCAGGAACTGAAGGTAAACGATCATATACAACGACGTGTGTCCACTGGATGAGCTCTGAAGTAGTTGGCACTTGCCAGGCCATCACTTTCAACGGTGAGCACTGTAAGTGGATGAATACCAACTTATTTTGACATGATTTTGATCAACTGGACACTAATGGCATGTGGTTTCAACAGGACGGTGCTATGTGTCCCACAGCTCATGCCACATTGGATATTCTGCCCGAGCAATCTAAGGGCATTGCCATCTCACGTGAAGGTGAAGTGAAGTGGCCACCGAAATCATCCGATTTGACTCCGTTGGACTTTTTTTTGTGGGGTTTTCCTAAGTCGTAGATGTATGCGAATAAGTCACACACTACAGCGGTTTTCAAAGCCAACATATCCCAGGCCATCGGTCAACGACGAGCATTATAGATTGATGATTACCAACTTTAGTAGATCAGATATGGGACTTCAGTGGCATCAGAATTTCAACTAACAGAAGCAATGAAGAACGTAGAGCTCTGAACGGCCTACGTAGGGATAACCATGGAGGTGTACGGGGTGTGCAGCGTTAAAGAAAAAAACATGGCAGTCATCGGGGTTTACAGGGTGTCTCATCATTTAAGAAAAAACATGACGTCAACGTGTACAGAGTGTCTCAAAATACGTCATTTGAAAAACATGTCAGTTTAACGGGGCTCTATCGTTTTAACGTACGATTCTTCAATGTGTACGGGGCGTGTCAAAATACGACATTTCAGAAAAAAACATGTCAGTTTAAGGATGCTCTTTCGTTTTAACGTGTGATTTTTCTATAAGTACAGGGTGTCAAAATACAACGTTCGAGAAATAAAAAATTACAGTTTAACGGAAATCTATCGTTTTAACGTGCGATTCTTCAGTTTGTACAGGGTGTTTCAAAATACGTCATTCAAGAAACATTACAGTTTAACAGGGCTCTATCGTTTTAACGTGTGATTCTTCAATGTGTATAAGGTGCCCCAAAATAAGTCATTCAACAAAAAACATGGCAGTTCAACGGGAGCCTGACGTTTTAACGTGCGATCCTAATGAGAACCGTTTGAAAATGAGGCGATAGGGGTATTCAGAATATTCAGCAATGACATTTCAAAATACGTTACATGCTTTTTTTTGTTTTCGTGTTGGGTGGGAAATGGAGGGAGCGGGGAAAAGAAAATACGCTGCATTGGGGGTGTATGGAGGTTAGATAAAAAAGAAGAAGAAATAAAACATTTCGAATAGAAATGTTCAGTGAAACTCACACAACAAATAAGTAGTTCTGGATTATTTTCCGTTGTCATTGAATTTTGCATCAGGTACCCCGGCAGGCGACATACAAGAATGTACTGCCCTGTCGAAAATCTTCGGGAATGGCCGGAGCTCTCCTCTTCCTGTTGGGTCAGTTAAATCCAACATGGGCCATTCGGAGACAGCGTCAGCTCTTTCTTCCCTGACCAAAGTCATCATAGCAATGGAATCTGGGGTCATTCCGGCTAATCTACACGTGTCTAACATGGATGTGACTCTACCAGGAATATCGGACAACACGTTGAAGGTAATATCTTCTCTTGCGTGAAGAAACAAATGAAATTATGAATTATATAGTAATTTTGTTATCGTAAATTTAATTATCAACCACTGCGCTTGGTTTAATCGGTTGAATTGTGTGCAAATCCATGATTTTTGAAATTTTGCCGAAAAATTACTCGATTGTTCAATGATTTTTTCAATAATTCAATAGCTCGAAGTTTTTCATCAGCTTTTGTAAAAGCTGCTTGGCATTTGACTTATTCATGACTTCTTTACTATAAGTTCAATCGGTCGAAATATAACGGAATTCTTAGCAATACAATTCCAAAAACTTAGTTTCAGAATCAAACCAGAATCAAAATCATTTAGTTCAGAAATTCTTTTCAACATTTCCTATTTCTGATTCAACCGTTTACTGATAACTTCTTGATTTTATACAGTGCATTTCTTACTAATTAAAAATTGGGATTTTTTTCAACATGCATCTAACTGATGAATGAACTTTTTCATTCCTCCATATTTACATTTCCCGCAGTCGTAGACGAAACGTCAGATATAAAAACCTACAAATCCCCTTTGAAATTCCGGTTATTGAAGTGATAAGAGAAGACAAATATGATTTCAGGTTGTGACGGAAAACCTCCCTTGGAAGGGAGGATTAGTGGGAGTGAATTCTTTCGGTTTTGGGGGGGCGAACGCCCACGTCGTATTGAAATCCTTCGAAAAGGAAAAATCGAAGAACGTCGCAAGTCGAAAAAATAGATTAGTTTGCGTATCTGGTAGAACAGAAGAAGCTGTCGCTCATTTTTTGAAAGGAGTCGAGGACGGCCAAGACGACGAAGAGTTCCTGGCACTCGTCGATGAAATTCACAAGAATAACTTTGAAGGACATCCGTACAGAGGGTAAGATTTCGTTACATTAATAATCATCATATAAAGAAGAAGAATTAGCGTATAAAAACTATAAGAAATATAAAATAGCATTTCAATTCTCGGATCTGAGAAAAACTGTCAAAACTAAAATGAATGCAGCATATAGAGAATGGGGAATGTTTCTCAATTTGGGTTATTACAGCTAATGCAAGTTTGAACAAAATAAAGTTGAGTTTAATCCATGAGTTTTTCGAATTCTCTTCGAAAACTATTCAAATTGATGTTTCAAATGTTGGGTTTTGATTTTTAAAGGGATTTGTTTCTAATTCACATATTGGTAACAGCGCCTGTATCAAGTTGAAATAATTTATACGTACCTAGATATTCTACTTTGGAAAATGAAAATTATCTTTATAATATACTGTATATGAGGCAAAATATAAATTATTTAGTTCAATACCACTTCCACAACAGTTGTTTTCTTATTTGTTTATATAGAGGAAGATAGGTTGGGTGCACAAAATGTCATATGTCACAGAATGCCTCAGAACTCGGAACATAAGTAAACAGAACAGCATGCCTCTGAAATATGTCATCTTTGTTTGTCTCATACAGGTAACAGATTCATTGTCCTTTATTAGCTATAACCGATGTTGCCAAATGGTTAAATAGAAACGAATTCCTTCAAATGTTGAATGCATTATTTCATTCCTCTTTTTTAAGTATTTAAATAATTTTCTTAAGAAAAACGTTGAAATGATAAGTTTAAAATGCGTTGTTTTAGAGCTCTTTTATGGAAACTGCTTGATTTTCGTCAGGAGGAACATTCCCCATTTACAAACATACTTGAAAATAATATTTTATCTGACAGCTCAACTTTCTGGTCTTTCATACACAGTAAAAAAGGTCATTCGTGTATAACGGCTATAATGAAACTTGGTGATGGATTCGAGGGTTGGCGCTTTATTCTCAAAAAAGAAATAATGAATGGTATAGTGTACAAAATTTTTCTAGTACTCGTCCAATTCAATTTTTTTTCTACCACGACAATGTACTTTTGAAGCTTCCCCCAGTTACCTTTTTTTCACGTACAATGCGTTCAATTGTCGACACGGATATGTCCGTTAAAAATGAACACTGGGCTACAGCTTCCACTGTACGGAGTGTATTTTTTTAATTTTCTTACACTCTACAGACAATCTGTTTTTCTTCTAACGACATGAACTTCCGCTTTCTTTGTACATTACTTGGACATGCTACGGCATCCATCTTAATACTATAAGAATAATAAAATTCAATCATATTATTCAGCAATTTGTCAGTTGTTTACTTACCTCAAAAACTATTCTAAAGTTGATGTGTTTTGAAAAACACTTTATTGTGAGATTTTCACTAGAACAGATTAACAAATCCGCAACACGTGTTTCGCTGCACAGTAGATTTTTCGAGCGTGTTCACTAACAAACTGAATTCTACATACATTGTGATTTATATATACTTTTTGAAATATTACTATCTATCTAGAAACTAATAATATTCTAGGAACTAATTATTGACAGTTATACCTGAGTTTAACGAACATTTATACCTGAGTTTAATGACTAGGTCAACTAATTATCTCACAATAAAGTGTGAATGTGATGAAAATCTATGATAATGTATTTTGAAAAACAAGTATCGGCCAACTCTATCTTATATTTTAAAGTTAATGAATATAACAGTCTATTTAATGAATAAATATAATAAAATATATTTAATAAATACAAAACAAAGTCACCTTCACAAGAAACAGAACACACTACGCCTATGCAGGACGCTTGATAATGAAGAAACCGAATGACTAGTTATGCCATTTTAAGGACGCAAATATAATAGTCCTGCGAAGTGTTGATCAGTTTACCGATGTCTCAAAGTATTTAACGAACTGGTTCACCTATTCGTTCGTACATCCTATCGATATGCAGAAGCTATCTTTTTACGGAGGGCAAATTTTATGGAATCATCTTACTTTTCAATTATTTACAATGGCGGTGCATAGACAGTAAAAATGACCCCGGTAAGAATTTTGTTTTAACATCTAACATTGTTGCCGTTAGCTCTCAGTTCAATTTGTATATGAGTTCACTTGTCATTACTTGTTTGTAATTTTTTGGTCAAAAACACCGCAATAATTCCTCAGCCACCTTATTTAGCAGATTTGACTCCCTGCGACTTTTTCCTTTCTCAAGATTGGAGAGATTTATATACTGGCACAAGTATATTATATCGTAGGAAAACAATACATACCTCGTATTGTTTTCCAGAGACTTTACTCCACCATCAAATTTTTCCAGATTTCACTCTTTTTAACACTGCACTGTTTTGAAGTTTTTGAAAATATATTAATAACTAGAGTAAAGCAGTTTTTTTTTCATTTCATCACAAATGTTTCTGTTACATTTTGATTCAGTTTCGTGATCTTGGGAGAAAAGCCCGCGAGGGAAATAAAGAAGTGTCCCCCCAAAAAGCGGCCGGTATGGTTCATCTACCCCGGCATGGGTTCGCAGTGGATGGGAATGGGCAAGGACTTGATGCGCATCAAAGTATTCCGAGATACATTTCTAAGATGCGCCGAGGCCTTAAAACCTTTCGACCTAGACCTGGAAGCCGTAATAATGGACAGTTCGCCAAAACAATTCGAAAACTTTATGAATGCCTTCGTTGCGATCACATCCATCCAAGTCGCGTTAACGGACGTTCTGTTCTCATTGGGAATCTATCCAGATGGAATTGCTGGCCATTCTATGGGAGAAATCGGTGAGTGATTACTTTTTTTTAATCGAAGCATGGATATTTTTGAAATTATAATTCTTTTGGCGCGACACCTTGAAGTCGGCTTCTTCTTCTTTAATTTATATGGCCATTGCTTCTCTTTAGAGCTCATTTGGCCAGACTCCTTTCCATAGTGAATAGAAGCTTTGTCCGGAGGTGCAGCTGTCTAGCAGGAGGCAACGATCCCACCCTAAGTTTTCTCATTAACTTTTTCTTTCAGTCCCCTCAATATGAATTTCACAAATTACACATCCATTATCGCACTGACGACCCCGTCGAATCCGTTGATATCCAGCCTGGTTACTGGCGTAGGGGATCGCCAGTCCTCTTTCTAAATGAGTGCCGTTTGAATAGGTACTGACCAAAGTTTTTGCATATATTACACCGGGTGACTTTTTCCATTTCTTCAATAGATATGCTGCCATACTATGGCCAAACTGCAGACTAGGCCAAACGGACAAGTTGACTATGGCGGAGCACACCTCGCCCCCTACCATGCCGTGAAAGCCCCAACCATTTTTTCAACAAGTTTTGTTGTCGCAGAGCGATAATACCATTTGACGTTCACAGGTTGCGGGTACGCTGACGGCTCGCTCACCCCTGAAGAAGCTGTCCTGCTGTCGTATGCCAGAGGAAAGGCCAGCATTTCGGTGCCGCTTCCCAAGGGACTCATGGCTGCCGTCGGTCTCACCAGAGAAGAAGCGGAGAAGATACTGCCTGAAGACACGTTCATAGCTTGCGAAAACGGCAAATCAAGCCTGACCATATCCGGTCTGGAAGCACCTATGAGAGACCTGGTGGAAACCCTCAAGTCCCGAGGAGTTTTCGCAAAGATCGTCGATACGGGCGGGATAGCCTTCCACACGAAATTTGTGGAGGATGCAGGGCCGATGGTAATGGATATGTGCAAAGGGGTGATCAAAACGGTCCAGCCGAGATCAGAAAGATGGGTTTCGACGTCCGTCCCTGATGATAAGATGGACGAACCTTGGGCGGGACTCAGCACGCAGGAATACTACCACAGAAACTTCTTGAACCCAGTACTTTTCACGAGGGTGTACGAGCACGTGCCGAAAGACGCGGTGGTTTTGGAAGTCGCTCCACACGCGCTCTTGCAAGCTATTTTGAAGAGGGAACTAGGGCCGGAGGTGACGAATGTTGGCTTAGCGAGTAGACTGGCCGATGACAACGAGCACTTTCTTCTTTCTGCTATCGGCAGGTAGGTTGATTTTTTTTATCAATTAGAACTTATATTACAGAACAGAACAGAACAGAATATGACATACAGCATTCGCAGTGACATGAGGCTATTCGTGTAATTGACATTATACATTGTTCTATATCATGAAAATAGGATTCTTCAGAAACTTATAGAGAGTAAGGAGTATTGAATGCTCATACAATTTTGTGATTTCGTTATCATTTGCGCTTCTTCATTCACAAAAAGACCATGAATACAAAACAGTAGCTTCTAAGAACTCGTTAAACTTTTTGAAACTCGAGGAAAAGCCAGTTTTTGATCAGTAGAACCAAAAAGTTGCATTCACGCATAAACAATGCGATCAGCCATTTTGACAATTAAAAATCCACTCAGGTATCTGCGGTCACTTAATACGGATAGATGTGTGGTCTGATTGTCGATATTGTGACCCATAGTAGGTTATGGGTCTTCCAAAATGGGTCACGGGTCCCCAAAAATGGGAAAAAGTTCAAATATTCCCAAAAATGGTTTTAGCTTGTATCTGGGGAGTTTTGAGAATGCCAGTGCACGATTCTGGGATCTGATTGTCGATATCGTGACCCATAGTAGGTAATGGGACTTCCAAAAAGGGTCACGGGTCTTCAGAAATGAAAAAAAGGTCAAATATTCCCAAACTTGTATCTAGGGGTTTTAAGAGAACCAGAACACGATTTCGAGGTCTAATTATTAGTTATTGTGACCCATAGTAAGTAATGGCTTTTCCAGAATGGGTCACGGGTCTCCAAACATGAAAAAAAGTTGGAATATTTCTGAAATATGGTTTTATCTTTTGTATCTGGGGGTTTTAGAGAGCACCAAAGCATGAATCTGAGCTTTGATTGTCGATATTGTGACCCACAGTAGGTCATGGGTCTTCCAAAATGGGTCACGGGTACTCAAAAATGTGAAAAATTTCAAATATTCCTGAAATATGGTTTTAACTTGTATCTGGGGGTTTCAGAGAGCACCGAAGCACAAATCTGAGCTTTGCTTGTCGATATTGTGACCTACAGTAGGTCATGGGACTTGCAAAATGGGTCACTGGTTTTCAAGATCTTGGAAAAAGTTCAAATATTCTTAAAAATGGCTTCAACTTGTATATGGAATTTTAAGAGCACCAGAGCACGATTTTGAGGTCTAATTGTCGATATTGTGACCCATAGTAGGTAATGAGTCTTCTAAAATGGGTTCAAACATTCCTGAAGTATGGTTTTAACTTGTATATGGATTTTTTGAGAGCACCAGAGCACGAATCTGAGGTCTGATTATCGATACCGTGACCCATATTAGGTAATAGGTCTTTCAAAATGGGTCACGTGTCTCCAAAAATTGAGAAAACTTCGAATATTCCTGAAAAATGATTTTAACTTGCCCCTTAAGGTTTTTGAGAGAACCAGAGCTCAAATCAGAGATCTGATTTTCGATATCGTGGCTCATAGTAAGTCATAGGTCTTCCAAAATGGATCACGGGTCTCCAAAAATGGAAAAAAGTTTGAATATTCCTGAAAAATGGTTTTAACTTGTACTTTGGGGTTTTTGAGAATAGCAGATCACAAAATTGAGATCTGATTTTCGATATCGCGACCCATAGTTAGTCGTAGGTCTTTCAAAATGGGTCAGGGAACTCCGNAAATATACAGCAAAACATACACAAAAGTGAGACAAAGGGAAAACCATACGAGCAAGGCATAACATGGATATATTATCTATCCAGAAGACTTCAGATATGTTTTCAACTTTTTCTTGAAATTATATATGGAGTACTGTCTAAATTCACTGGGCAGAGCGTTATATTGTTATTTGGGCAGAGCGTTATCTGGTTGAGGCAGGAATCGAACCCACGACCTTCCGATCGTGAGTCGGGCGCACTACCACCGCGGCCAATTCTACAATGATCAATTATTTCATGGAAGTCAGATATACATATAGAGAGAACAGAATGGGGCCAAGGATAGAGCCTTGAGGTATTCCATAGTCAATTACATGTGCATTGTAATTGGGATTTTTATTTTTGGTAACAATTGCAAACAATTGATTTGATGTATACGTGGGCTGTTGAAAAAATAAGGGGAATGTTCAATTCGATTAGCGTATTTTTATTTTTTTAAATGTTGGTACACTCGTCTCAGAAATATGTTCACTGTGTCAGATGTTTAGTTTGTTGGTGAGAGGCTTAAAAGTTAGAAGTGTTTTGTCTTTTCGGTGATTTTCTGCTATCGAAAAGAATGGATCAGATGTGGATCAAATTCTGTGTAAAAAATGAAATTGGGTGCTCAGAAACACATGAAACGTTGACAGTGGCATACAGTGATTGTACTCTGAGCCAGATTAGTCATTATTAATTAGTAATTATTTTTCGCCAATATTCGTCAAATTTTGTGTAGATTTCATTCATTTGAATAAAAAAAGTGGCAATGAACCTATTGTCCATTCATATTCTAATAAGACAGACAGTGCTCCGGTTTAGGGATGGGGAAAACAGTTTTTCATCAGATGAAGAATAGCTCTGAGTTTCGAAATCATTTTACCTAACAGTAACATTTTTTCTAATGTTGCTTTTGTATTTTAAGTAATTATAACTGTACTAATATCGAATTTCAATACTAAATCGCGATCAGTTCCTGAACTGAACACGACGTCAATAACCATCCCCGCATTCTCCGATTTCTATTCGTCATCGTAACATGACTTCAAATTCAATTCTATGACTCCTCAGCCAATCATCAAACGCGGTTAGGGAAAATTATTCAATACGAACTGCCAATTCTGCAGTTCACGTGGACTATTTCGCAGCCGGTTCATTTCTATGTATTGGTTTTTTGGCCTTTGAGAGTGCCGCCAACTTTAAAAGTTCACAGTATCTTTTACTTCGACTATAATTTTCCTGATCATGTTTCTTATTCAGGAGTTAGTATGGAGGGTTTTGGCGAAATTTCACCTGAAAGAGATAGAGCAGCTGCCCGTAGTGATACAAGACGTGAAATTCAAAAGAGCAACAGTACTACCAGACGATGGGAATGTCCAATTCATCGTGAATATCTTCAAGCAGTCTGGAAATTTCGAAGTATTCGAAGGCGGGTCAGTAGTCGCTTCAGGAAAAATCAGCATGCCGAAAGACGTGACCAGAGAATTCGTTCAACTTTCTGGTGATATCGAAGAATCAGAACACAATGGGTATGTAAGATGGGATGAGAAAGTATTAGGCTAAGTTGATTCAATATTATTGTATCGCCTTTGAGGGCGTTACAACGATTATAGCGGTGTTTGAAGGTGATTGACAATGTTTCATGATGAATTTCACTAGTTCGGACTTCCATTGTCTACTTTATAAAATGATTTGAAATCCCTGAAACAACTAAAAAAAGAATAATGAATAGCTGAAAATAACAATTATATTAAGCAAAATAAACCT